GAAAAAAAAACAAAAAAACTTTAAGTAAAGTACAAGTACATACTCAGAGAATGTACTTCGAGTAGAATCAGAGGCATAATTTGCACTTCGCCGCCCTACACAGCCTTTCATTCATAGAAGTAGCTTCGTTTGGAGTGAAAATTTTCAAAAGGGGCTAAACGTCTCAAAGTAACTAAATTCGGAGCTAGATTTCAAAATGGGCCAATTCATGTTGGGACAGCCACAAATTGACCGCCCCCCAAAAATTCTGCCGCCCTGAGCAGCTGCCTACTTTGCCTATTAAGTAGGTCTGCCCCTGAAGCCCCTGAGTACAGTACAAGTTTTCTAAGCCTAATTGGAAGTAGTACTTTAGGTACAATGTACTTCCACTGCAGTCACCTTGCATAACAGACCACACTAGCCAACCAAGCTCAGACCACAGTGCATCAAATCAATAAAGAGGACAAACCCAAACTGCTATCAAAGTAAAGCAGTCGGAATGCTTTGAAATATACTGGTTGCATACGAAAATCGATGCAACCATTCACGAATGAAAGCAACTGCTATAGAAGAAAATAGGCAACTGATATCAAGAGTATCATACCACATGTGAGGTCCAGAGAATCGAGCGACAAACAAATACACCTGTAAACATTTTTTAGACTGCTTGCACCCACCACAATGTGCACTAAAATGAAGCCATATTGCCAATGCTTTCAGTCTTGGCCAACTTAAGCAGTTATGCACGAATTTCTTGTATCAGGCATCACTGCCAAACATCTGCATTAAATCTCGGTTTAGATACCTTGGACGAAAACCTGCACGGGATGAATACAATTCAGGACCTACGCAAGACCACAGTTTAAGGACCTCAAATGTTGCAGTGGAAGCTCGTCACTTCAGCAAGTAAAGACCATGACAACGTCCCCCCCCCCCCCAAAAAAAAAAGAAAAAGAAAAAAGAAACTACCCAAAGGCCTTTTTTAAAACAATACCTATGCACTGCATTATGTCAACACGCTGCACGCAGCATGCTTGAAGACTCCAAAATACTTCCCATTACAAAAATATGTAGCTCCACGAATGTGAATAGCCCTACATGTCTAATGCTAAAGAAGCATTTAAAACATATTCAAAAGGTTGGAAAATAAGGCTGATCTCTAAAGCCCGTTAATACACTACAGTAAACTTAAGAATATATGAAGTAATTTATACCAAGCACCATAGAATTCCTGTCAATGTCAAGATCTAATACTTTCAAACTACACTGCACTTGTTAAAAAGCAATGAAAAGCTCTGGTCAACTATCACATGATATGGATGCCACGACACACTAATAGCAGTGCTAGTTGCCAGTGATAAAGCAAAACTTTAGCCAAGGTTAGATCGAAGTCAGGCTGAAGACTAATGTCGAAAGGAAGTATTCTGTCTACACCAAGAGATGGCGGTACCTACTATTTATCCTATATGCCCTGGCATTTTTGCCGTTTCCTTAACTACCCTAATCAAGGACAGTTTCATCAAACAACAGGTTACTGGAAATTCAAATTGAACAAGAATCACCTAATAAAACAGAGACCAAAATTATTAGACGAATCTACAATAAACAAGCCCAAAAAAATTAAAGAGGAGCTTGTACAGTGCATATTGCTGGAATTTCCAAGAAATTTTAAAACACAACCAAACAGGACTAGCAGCTGATCTCCAAGCAAAGCAGCTTGATGAAATGAGATACTGGTATGACATCTAAAAGTTGCAGGGGCACATGCTAGACACCAAACTAAAGATCAGCAATAAACTAAATCAAACTGCGCAAAAGAGCCAGGATTTTCCACAATACTCCCGCAGTGTAGTGTTTCTGCCACAAAAGCAGGTATGGATTCAATGAAAGCCTTCAACTCACAGTTGGCATACTGGTAATACATGATGAGAAAATAGGTTACAGTGAGAACTGTCACATACTGCCATGGGAACTTCGATAAGACCAAGTTTGCTGTCCATTTTCCTGTCCAATTCCAACCACCACACTTCACATGCAGCTAATAATAAGAAACATTAACGTAAAATAAATGGGATTAACAGATCAGATATGTGGACAGGATATAATGATTGAGACCACAAAGTTCTCGGAATCGCCCATATTTCGGCCGTAACAATTTAACAAGTTATGAGAAACCAATCATGCAAATTTATCTTCCACTATATTTACTAACTAATACACAGGGCTCACAGACCAGTTTCTGCTAACTGAAAAATTTGTTTCCTGAAAAACATTCTAGAAAGCAAGACTTACAATAATTTGCAAAATTTCAAGCATACGATATAGTGATGTCAACTATTTTAGGTTCTCAGACAAGCAGCAACAGATGACACACATGACATGACTGAACGCTGTTTCAACTCATCCACAGCATACAGTACACTCAGCTGCTCCGTAAACTACTTTAATACGCCCAGTCCTGGAATCTCGTACACACACGTGTGCATAATTATGTAGTAGCCTTGGAAAGAATTCCGAGCACACATGCCCTGTGTTAGTAAAACCACTTTCCGGAGAGTTCGGGCCTACACGCCTCTGACAACAGGTGCCTGTGATCCGCAAAATGAAGTTTAACAACAAAAAAAGACGACAGAGAGTGACTCAATAATAGCAAGTGCAGGAAACCGAATGATAAAATGTAGCAAGCCGAAGTAAACCAAAAACTTCTACCATGCGATAAATGTAGCAAGCCAACTAAACCAAAGAACTAAACTGTGCTATGGATCTTTCATTCAGAGACAAACAATCCATGCTTGGAATGAGGGCAGAATTTCGGAGTCACTTTGCTCTTTACAATAACAAACAAATAAGGAACTGTGAAACTTCTATGGGACTCCGCAACTCGCCACGACATGGAGGAAAACAGTGAAAAGGAATGTATTACGAAGTAAAAAAAAAGCAATTCAGTTTATGAAGCCGGCATCTTAAAAGCTACCGATAGAAAGAATGTGTAGCACATTGCATAAAATCAAGGACAATGAGAACTGGAGGATTGAAAAGGGCACGTCAAAAAGTAGCACCTTACTGAGAAACTTTGAAGGCCTTCCAGAAGCCTGTGGCCGTGACTATAACCCAACCCCCCCTAACACGAACTTGAGTTAAAAGGTCAACCATCCCCAGACCCATCCCTTCTACTTTTTTTCCCCTCAGAGAAGCTTGGCTTGCAGAACGATGCCAGAAAGTCCTAACTTACTACACTGTGCAATGCGGCTCGCAACAGAAAAGGGACTGCTCCATTTTTTCCTACAAACAAGGCTGCCGTGAGCAGTAATAAGTGTTTAGGAATAGAGGGTGTTAAAATATGTTCACCCTGGTATGTCTGCGGGCACTCAAACCGAAATGCGTAAATGCTGAAGAAAGTTTGAGCAACGCTCCCCAAACTTTAGTCGGGGGGCAGACTCTCCATCCAGCCTGTTTATTTTTGCATCGTTGAGTTTAGAACTGCCATGAACCGAGCCCATAAATCCTTGCAGAATATTTTTTAAATAGTAAGCTACAAGGGGTGCCCTTCATACTGTCTGAGGGTCCCTTAAAACTTGCAACTGAAAGCAGGCGAAGCGTAAGACCACTTCGATAATACAAATTCGCAATTCAGTCTCCTGCGCAGCTCGAGATGGCCCCACAAGTATAAAAGCCAGTTTTAAGCACTGGTTGTGGCACGGCATGGATCCTATCCTACGCTAACCAGGGACCAAAGACTGGTTAAGACATTTGCGTCTGTGCGTGACTAGCTGCATTACGACCGCTTATGATTGCTCACGAGATGACACCTTTGTGCCATCAGTCAAGTAGCCCTTGCCCACTTCCGGTCTGCATATATTTCTCTATTCTTTCGCACCACTGTCTTGAAAAAACTCCAACAATATTGCAGCGGCCGTTTCTCATAAACAGTGCATAGGCTTGATCTCGCAAACATTGCCACACCTTCGGTCAAGTTCAGGACCGAAAGTGTTTGTAAGTTTTTGTGTGCTATCTGCATCGGGAAGGAGGGGCTCTTCAGTGGTACTTTAAAAATGATATTCCGCAGCCTCCGTGCACTAAATTAAAAAATAATCTCGATATTTGTGATCGTAGGGGCCAAATGAGGCCCTTAAATACAGAACCACTTCAGTTTCCCTTTAAAGCAAGGTGCAGACGGTGACAGGTTAAGAATGCAGTCGATACTCTGCCTCCAGTGTGAGTTTTCTGCCTTTGATAACACTTTGCTGCAAGTGCATCCATAGCCCGTCGAATGACATTAAAAAGAAAGCTGAACACTTCTTAAAAAATATGGTAAGAGGTGAGTTCTGGCATATTTTTGTCCCGTGAATCTGGGTATCACGTTTGTTGTTCCCGGAGATGCAACTAAACAGGAGAAAGCACGAAAAACCTACGACCAGTCATGAAGCCGAACTAGGATCTTCGCGCCGCCAAGTGCGTGTCGCTCGTGTGGGCAGCACAAGCAATTGCAAGCTTGCCAGGTATATTTCCCACACTGACACCAGTCGTGGCGTCTCTTTCTGACCTTTTCGAAAATAGCAAGAGTGCGCGTGCTTAGTTCTGAGGGGTGCTGTATATGCGTGAGAGTGGAGATTCCGAAAACTCCTATTATGAAATTATGAAGTCACGTCACGGGTAGGAGGGGCTTCAGCGGTATTTTGAAAATTAATTTCTGCTGCCTCTGTGCACCTAATCGAAAAATAATCTGAAAGGCCAAATGAAGACAATTGAAGTGTTTTTCCTCAAATACAGAGCCGCTTCAGTTTCCCTTTTAAGAATGTGCTGGAGGCATAGCTCCAACAACATTCTTAGCCAGTCACAGACTGTGGTACCGATGCCAACAACATTGTGCACAACGTCAATGTTAGCTGAATGCTTTGTAACGATAGATGCTTGACGTTCGGCACCTTTGGCCAAATGTTTGCAAAAAGATGATCGGCAGTCAGTAAGTGCAATGTTGAGCTCGGCAAGTGGTCAATGAAGTGCGAGAACTTCAGACTCACCCCTTGGTTGCCTCCAAACTGTATTGATGGCTTCTGACTGCAGCCACCCTGGATGAAAAGACACAAAGGAGCAAACGAAAGTTGAGTGCAAACTGCCAGTGAGCAGACTTGAAAAAGAGCAAGCAACACATCGCAGGCAATGAAAAGAAAAGGTGTGCAACTCTCGGTAACCAATCGCAGGAAGGAAGGGGACAACAGTAACTCAAAGAGCATGCAATAGTTAGTCTAATCCTCAACCCTGTTTGTTTCGATCTGGAAAACATACACATAACCGCGTGCTACAGTTAGTAGCTGATTGGGAGAGCTGACTACTTCCAGGAACCAGCGACAAGACAGCAGATCGACAGCAGCAAATCAAAAGAGTATACAAGAGTTGAAGAGATGACGAACACCAGAAATGGGATATGTTGAGCCTTAAACGCAACATTTATTAGCAAATCCACGTTCCGCCGACACGGGTTTACTAATTTGACTGCAAACTTTACAACGTTAGTCCTAGGCGTCCGACATAGTAGATTTTTTAAATTATTATTATTGTATTGAAGGAAGTTTTGATGGAGTTCCTCAGCGCGTAGCGACGGGGTTCGCACGACGGTTTAATAAAACAGTCTGAAAGGAAAATCTGGGGGGAATTAAACGAGACAAAAAAAAAAAATGGAGCGCTAGCGCAGACTGGTGTGACGAGTAGGGGAGACGGCGGAGCGTCGGCTCGGCGTATTTGAAGCAATCTTATCGGCGCTGTATCAGCCGAATTGTATATGCCCCGCGCAGAGTGAGGGCACAAAAGCTGAGCTTATCCCCGAGAAAATAAGAAAAAGAAAAAAAAAGTACAGAAGACCGGCAATGGCTTGTCGACAACGGCGACGTCGCTCGACATAAACAAAAGACGAAGAAAAGAACTGACTGACGATGTTTTTCGTTTCTGTTATTGCGGTTTTTCTTGCTTTTTCGGCTTCGATTCTACAAAAGGAGGTTACGGTTCAATCGCTGTCGTCGCATAAGGGGTTGTTTCTTTGGGTTTTTTTCGACGCGACTTTGGCCCAGTCGAAAATATGCCAGGAACGCAAGTTGAAGAGAGCATCGGTTTTGAAAAATAACCCTGCTTCCAAAAAGCTCGTCTCCGGAGAAAACGAAAAGAAAAAAAGAAGAAAAACGACAGCCAGCGATGAAATTCTGGCAGTGCGGTCGCCGAGGTGTCACAAAAAAAGACGAAGCTTGCTTGCTTTTTTTATTATTTTTTTTTCTCGTTTTTATCCTCCATTTTTTACTATCAGTGACCGTACTGTATTACCGTCGCCTATCGCACGTCTGACCAGTAAATGAGATCCATTTCATTATAGCAACTCGGTACTAAGCAAGAAAGAACGGACACGACTTGTTTGAAAAGGATATTTTTAGGCGCTGTAACAAGAGACATTTACGTACAGTTCGCGGTCGACGTTGCACGGCCTAAAGCGGTTCGGGTAAAAGGACAACGATGTCATCCAGGCGCGAGGGTTTAGTCGACCGGCAGCGGGCCCCACACCCGAACAATTGGCCAAAAGTGGGCGAAAAGCATGCACCAAGGACTAACTAGCGGGTCCCATCAACAGCTGTTTCGACCACCACCAGCAGCATCCGGCCCGGAAAACAAGCGAGGAAAGCAGGAATTTTTACTGACCTTGTACTTTAAATATTCCTCAATGGATCTGAGCGCCGAATCTGTGAGTTTCACGAATATGAGCGTTTTATTTTTCGAGTAATTCCCCTGTGAAGACAGACCATATTGACTCCCTTCCACCAGTGCCGCCATTTTGGCCTTTCTCGCTGAACACCTGATCCCGTGATGCCTTGCGCGACTGCGCCGCGGTGCTGTGCGCATGCGTGACGCAAGGCGCCGCGCGTTCGATTGGTCGAACGCTGCAGCACATTCCGGAGTTCGGGGGCTTGATTCTGTGCTTTCGTCGTCTGCAGTTACCTGCGTTGATGACGTCACAAACGCGCCGCGACCTCGGCGACCCTGTGATTGAAAGCAGGGCGAACACGCTCGTCCGATTTTTCCCCTTTTACTGCGCCTTATTTGACTTGAAATATTTTATTTCAGTTTTTCTTTTTTTTCTCACCGCAACTGGACGGTATTTTAAATACAGCAATAAAGGCGCATGACCGCGGTGAATATGTTGCGAAATCGAAATCACGCAGAATCAGAATAAACAACGTTCAGAGCTCGAAAAGCTCGAACTAGCGCTGGTGAACCCGCGCTGGTGTAACCTCTTTGTTGGCACCAACGTTACCTGGTTTGCACGAACCTTCAAGAAGAGGCATGATTAGTGTCTGTTTCGTGTTTACGCATGCTCTATGGTTTATCGAGATAAAGATGCATCCGACCGGGTTCAAGCGTAAACGAGTTCTCAGCAAAAACGGCGTCTGCTTCAACGTTGTGGGCGCATTCGATTCTCCGTAGAGGTCGTAGCCATGCCTCACGTGATCACATAGAGTTATTATAATGTACGCTAGAGGTTCAACTGGCGCTAGTGTGCTGCTGCAAATTGAAGCAGACAGCAACCAGTCCGAAATTGACTTCCGGTAATGCATTGCTATGGGAAAAAGCGAGTGCATTTTCTCTCTGCGCTCGATTATAAGAGCAAATATCACGAATAATTCGTACGTACTAGGTAGTTTGGAACTTTTCTCAGTCACGCAGACGAAATAATTGGTCAGTTACAGCGTTTTCATTTGAAATTCGTGGCACGAAAAACGATGCTAAAACCGCTTCGTACGTGTATTTATGTGCACTGTCAGACACTGTTAGCGCGAACACGGCGTCGGCACTTTTCAACATGAGGGACATACGTGTCAAACGAACGAAGGACATGTGGAAAACCAAGAGAGACGGCAAGAACTACACAGTAACACTGGATAAGTAACTCTTTGTGCATGCAGACGATCAAATAAATTGAAAGTCACGTACTATATTCAGATTTGTAATAAATAAGTACTGCTTTCTTCTTTCTGCTCATGAATATGTGCAAAGATGCATGCTCTGGGTTCAAATCATCACCCGCAGGCTCCAGATCTTTGCGAATGGGGAGAAGCCAGAGAACAGGTGCCCGATTAAAACTGCCCGACATCGGAAATAATAAAAAGACACACCTCTCGTAGCCCACATACTTTACTTTTTTAGCGGACTGTAAAGATGCACGACGGAGTCTTCATATAGTGACAGAACGGACATATTAGCAATATATAAGCGCCACCGGAATGCTATCGAACCTTAAACGCACTCTACATTCCTTTCGATTGTTATTTTGCTTAGAATCGTCGCTTGTTTTTACACGCCGGCTGTTGAACAGAGGTTTGAGCCTGAAATAGAGCGAAGTTTAACATCGTTCAGTGGTAAAGAAAAATGTTGTAACTCAATCAATTACACTTTCACAATATCAATAAAGGTACATACTATCCGGTACAACCGAAATAACAAAAGTTATTCGTGTTATTTTACGGCGAATAGACAAAATTCACGTGCGTTTTCCCATAAGAATGCACAGGAGCACCGCAAAAGTAGACTGGTTGCTGTCTGCTTCAATTTGCCTCCCGGAAGTCGCATAGACACTAGCGCCAGTTGAACCTCTAGCGTACATTATAATAACTCTATGCGTGATCATATGCAATAAAAATACGTTTCGCTCAAAGTGATAAAAAAAAAAGGAGCGAAAAAAATAATCCCGCTATACTTTTTTAAGAAAAAATAGCATGTTGGTAAGCAAGGCTATGTAAACATTAAAGACAGTCGTACCGCTAGGGGTCTTCAACGCGGGCTTTTTGAAATGGCACATTGCCGGTTTCATTTGCTTCGCATAGCTTTTCTCTAACCTCCTCTCAACGTTGACAGGTTCATACCCACATAAATAATTTATTGTTGGTAAAAGACTTGAAGTAAGCTCTCGCGTGCTTTATTATTATTTTTTTTTCTATTTATTTAGTTTTCCGATCTGTTCCACTTCGATCCTTTCATATCAGTTTGATTAACCATTAGTTGACCCTTGGCGCAGATTGAATATGTCTCCCATGATGGCAGTCTTTTAGAAATGGTGGACATTTGGTCATACATGTTGGCCCTTTTTCCCCCATTTCAGTGATAATCCTTGTCTTCAGCTCACTGTTGTTGTTTCTTTTCAATGATAGTCGGTGACAGGTCAAGAACGAAGTGGCAGCCCGTCTTACCTCTTCCCATTTTATCAGAGCGCACGTTGGAGAGGAGGCGATCGATCCTTTCCAGCGTTTCCATTTCGTTCTTGACCTGTCACCTACTATAAAAGTTCTGCCTTTACATTGTGCAGTGTTGAACGGACTACTTTTACGTTACAATTATCGAAAGAAATCCTGGTATTGCGCAGTCACGGGATATTAGAATTATGAACTTCTTGCATATTAAATGTCTGTAGAACAAAATCGGCGTTTCTTGTTTTATAAATGTCTCACGTGAAACGTAGTGTCTGCCTATCCAAGCCGCTGTGCATTTTGTCAACGTACCCCTCACTCAAGAGTCCACTACTTCCTCCAAATGTTTGTTTTTTTCAAATTAAAATTTTCTCAAGCTTACCACTTTTATTTGAATCTGTGTAAATTTTCAAATTGGCAGTTGAAAATTTGTCTTTCCTGTGTTTACCCTTTATGTAGCTTTCCTTTTATCCCTTTCTATGTCAGTTTCCTCTGTTGCTGGTGGTGGATAAAAATAAGTGGAAGTAAATAAGTAACTAAATAGCAGTTACTCTAAGGAGAAGCACAGTCGGCGACATCTGCATTCTCTCTCTCTCTCTCTTCCTTTCCTCCCCACTAGAGGCAAACAATAAAATATAAAATTCAAGACAAAAACAAATGAACGGATGGATTATAGAATACGGGCGAACTGCATCGTATGAATGTGCCACCTTCAGAATGCTACAGTTCAGTGACGAACAATACGGAATGTTAGTAGATCGATGCACCACGGGCGCCTCTGCGAAATTTATCGGAGATCCTTCACGATCTACTAAAACTCTTTCATTGCTAAACGTCCTCCATCGAGAGTACAGGTGGGCTCTGCAGCTTTACCGACCGGCGGCAACTTGGGAGACCACGAATGGCGTTGTCTGGTGTGTGCTGCCGTCAAGAGGTGGCGCCTACTGTCCACAGCGAACTTTTGAGGGCGCGTTGGTTGAAGGCAACTTGCAGCCCGAGTAACGCGTACTTCTCTTGATTGGATTGTTGTTGGCTAGAGTTACTGGTAAGGTTTTCCGTCCTCCAGGGATGTTAAAACAGTTCGCGACAGGCCAAGCTCATAGCACCAGAGTTTTCATGACAGCGCAGCTAAAGTAGGAGTCGCGTTTCCAAATCGCAATGATCGCCACTTGTGCCAGCTTTGCTGTGCGCACTAAGCACCAAAATGGCGACGCCCACAAAAAGATTGGCGAGGGGAGTGCCGATGCTAGGGCTGGGCGTCGGTTAAAAAGTTTAACCCGACTAATCGCCACCCTTTAATCAATTAATGAATCGATTCTTTTTTTTAGTCGAGATTAAATGTCTTGCTTCCGCTGAATATGTAATAAACGGCGCAGTACAATTTCGGGTTTTATATCAACCTTGGCGTGTGGCTGAGAACAGTCAAAAGACATCCACCCACAAATTATTACCTCAGCCGCAGGAACAAAGAGGTTTGTTGATATTCTCCGGCAATGGCGAACTCCTCTGAATCTTCACAATAGTATCTGCTGCGCTAAATCGACACTCGCACGGCGTTGAAGTGTCAGGGACACACATAACCATCTCCGCTTGTTTCGATTTACAAATCCCTCCACTAGAATTTACTTTAGGTAAAAATTTATCGTAAGGTTTGCCTTCATACAGGCGTACTCGTCCACGTCTGCGTGATACTAATTTTTACATCTTTTTGTTTGTCGAAATTGTGCCGACTAAACGGTTAAAAAGATAATCGCGATTAAGGCATTAATTGATCCATCGGTAGGTTCATCGATTAAATACCCAGCTCTAGCCCATACTCTCAGCGTACCCTATAGCTTATATAGTGGCTCCAGTAGAGATGATACATTCGAGGTTGCAACGGTTCCAAACCTTCAACTATGCTGCAAATATACAAAAACTCCTGTTTCTTCTACACTAGTATGTCCACGTGAAATGGGACCATCTTTGCCCGTTTTCAAACGTTCAGAAAATCGCTCATAATTTTTAAATAAGATAACGGCTAGCGCTGAAACTTTGGCATCTGCATCGAATCTCTGGCGCTACATTTGGCATGGAGACTGAGCAATCGGCAATGCGTAACGCAATTCAAGTAAAAAAAAAAAAAAGATCTTGCACATTTTTTTAGAAGGACAGTTTCGCGGTGTCGATGGCTGCTGCGATGCCCAGTGTACGCCGAGGTTCAGACGTTTTGCGTGTGACAGTGGGTATGCTGAAAGTTGACCAAAGCAGTAATTACACATGTAAAAATATCCATTTACCATTTCGTCACTTCTTTGTCAGATAACCTGACGTAATTATATGCTGGGCTGTTTTCTTTATGGCTCCGTGTTTACGGTAAATACCGATAAACGCCGAAAACTCACCTCCGAGACTGTTTTATTTTTAAAAAAATCAGTGAAGACCGGAAAAAAGCCTTGTTGGAGCTGTCTTCGACTATGAAAAGCCAAAGGCACGTGCGATGAAAATTTGTGTTTACAGTTTCATTATCTGGTAACACTAAACCACCAGTCACCTTGCTGTGTTTGGAAGTATGTGTTTGTGATTATTATCGTTACGCATGTTAGTACTCGTAAACCTATAATTAGTCTTCAGCACAGTCTTGCACACGGTACTCAAAAAATTAATGGATT